AGGATGTTACAAGTTCCATATAGATGTTATGTGAAATTATGAACAGACAGAAGTTGCTATGCGTTTCCTGCTGACAGTCAAAGAATATGCAGCTTGACCTTTCGGAGATAAATTTCTAAAAGGATTTATTCTAGATTCTTTACCACAGATAACAAAAACATCAAGAATGTACTTCCTGTGTCAGCAAACAGGCATACCTCACCTCTGACAAACTCACTTATCTGTCTGCCATTCCTTTAGCTTACATAAAAGCTCTCTATACCTTGCATTCAATTCTAATATACAGTATACTGTTTTTTTGCAAGAGATCTTCAGACATGCTGTTACTAGCCTGCAAATAACTCCTAATATGTAGCATCCTGAAATAACTCAGTCTACACTTAAATGCTCAAAAACTGCTTGTATTAGTTTGCATAAATCACTAATGATAGATAGATACTTTATTGATCCCGTGAGGGAAATTGCAGTGCAACAGCAGCTTAACACAGACAACACAGACACAGTGTAACGAATGATACAATAATAATAATAATAATAATAATAATAATACAATACATACAATACATACAATACAATCAGTACAGTGAGAAGTGCACTAAGATGAGTTACTCACAGTCCAGAACACACAAAGAACGAACCAGAACAGAGTAGTACACAAAAAAGTTGTATTGCACAATATGACTATAAATATAAATGTATTGCACAGGTCCCTGGCATATATTGCACAAAAGTGGGTTTAAATGGGAAAAGAAAAAGAACAGATGTATCAGTTTACTGTGCAGTCCAGAAACAGGTCACTGTCAATGTTGCCTCTGCCCAGACGCAAGGTGGATGCGTTGTACAGTCTTATGGCAGAAGGCAAGAATGACCTCCTGTAGTGCTCCCTTTCGCACCGTGGATGAATCAGTCTATTTCTGAACTTGCTCTTAATTTCTACAAGCATGTCATAGAGGGGATGGGAGACGTTGTCCATGATGGCTTCTAGTTTGGACACGATTCTCCTCTCAGCTACTACCTCCAGGGGGTCCAGGCCAGACCCAATGACAGAGCTTGCTGTCCTGATGAGCTTGTTCAGCCTGTTATATAGCCTAATATCATACAGTATGTGAATACCGGCCATGTACTGTAGCATTAAAAAAAGCTGCATTGTGCAACATCACACTGATTTGGTTTCTTTTAAAGTGAACTAGAGAAACCAGAAAGACTCCTTTTCTAGAACTAATGATTGCACATTCTGTACACTGGGGTAATTAAATCCACACCGAGCAATCTCCAGAATGTTCACAATTTGGCAGCCAGAATCCTGACCGGACTGTAAACAAGCAATCATATTACACCTGTCTTCGAGTCCTTGCACTGGCTTCCTATCAAGTTTTGAGTCAACTTCAAAATTGTCATCCTCATTCAGTACCTATCTGGCGTATTATCTACTTTCCACCTTGTAACCTTTGTTCGTCTGACTCTGGTCTTCTAGATGTCCTCAAGATTATCTACATTTTATAGGTGACAGTTCTACTCTTGCTGCACCCCAGAGCTCTGGATTTGTATCCCCAATGATATCAGAGTCACCTACCCTGAGTCCATTTAAATTTAAACTCAAAACCTTTCTTTTCAGAAAGGCTGTTATTTAGCGTCTGTAGCTGCTTCTTTTTCTAACTTCTGCAGTTCTTTTAACATCTTGTCTTTCTTATATGAACAGTATTTACTTTGTAATTTGTAGTCCTTATAACTGTTTTACACTTAATGTTTGCTTTGAGATGGTACATTTAAAGATGCTATAGAAAATAAAGTTAATTATTATTGTTATAGAGAAAAATGATCAGATTTTACCTGGTATCTACTGTATTTTCTGTGCTTGCCCTATCTAAATAGATTTTCAATTATTCTGAAAATCTTCTTGAAATGAGCCATTTCAAGATTCCTGTTTTCACTGTTAACATCTTACACGAGCTCTGTGACAAAATATATATTGACCTCTGACAGCTCAAATCATTAGATTTCTATAGTTATGTCTTTATTTAGTGATTAGTGACAAAGGAAAATGTATTTTATGTGTTGCAAAAAAACTAACATGCTTTAACAAAATATATTTACAAATCCTTTCCCCTGGCAATCTACTTGATTGCCCAACTATTTGAGAATCCTTCCATGAAACCATGTTTGCTATTAAATTCATATAAGGCTCTCTGATAGAATTGTTCTTTTTTCATGTATGTTAATTTTCTGACTTTCTATCCCATCAAACCTTCATACTCTCCCTGCTAGAAATGCACCTGATTATTCAAGCCCCTAACTCTCAAGCCAAATATGCTTCAGGTTCACATGTTCTTTTGTAACACAGAGCCTTCTGGGATTTTTTGTATTTCTAAGTGTTTGTAAGTGTTTCTGAATCCCTGAATGTCTGGTCATGGCTTTTTTGTTTGCTCATTTCAAAGTAATATCTGCTCCATTCTAAAACCTTTTTGCTCATGTGCATGTATGTATTTTTATGTTTATTTAAATCTCTCAAAATTTAACATCCTAAATTTTCATTTGCCTTTTTAGACTGAATTTTAGTTTCAGCCTTAAAAAGCTTAAGTTTTCTTTATCTTTTGTTACTTGTCCTACACGGGTCTGTAATTGTGAAGTTTCCAGTATCTTTACATTAATCTATGCACATTTGTAAACTATTACTGATCACCAAATTTCTGCACTTGACATGGCCTAATTCTCCTTTTCCTGAACATCTATGGCAAGCAGAGCTAATGCTGTTTCTGTTGCGATCTTCAGCAGCTGAAATGTCACTGTTTAAACGATTAAGAAATTGCATTGCTCAAATTTGGATTTTTACTTATTCTATGCAAACACAAAGTAGTTGCTTTCTGAAAATGTTATTTTTTTTGTTAGCCTTTAAGACCTTGATCAAAACTGATTTGAGATGTCAAAAAGTATTTATATTCTATTTGTATTTCTGCTCCAGAAAAAAATGAGTTGTTTGTCCAGATTTTTACTTTATATTTAGGCTCAGATTTCAACTATAAATTTTACATTAATTGCTAGCAGTAAATACTGATGTTCCCCACACCCCACCTCTTACCACAAAAATATATTTGTATTGTAGCTGGGATTCCCTTTTTATCTGTATGTGTCTATCCCTACTCTCTCTCACCCGCTGCGATTTGGACCCAGAATGGTTATGGAATGTGTAGTGGTGAGGCTTAATAATAAGGCAGAATTAAGTGTTCTGAGCCTTCCCAAATGAGGCCCCATTTCTCTGTTCATCTCTGTGGTGCAGCCACAGAGAAACTATTCATACAAGATGTTTTCTTTTGATAAGGACAGCTCCCACAGGGGGATGCACTTAGCTAAGCCTGGCTATCATGATCAATGGTCATCCATTGGCGCCTATCTGTTTAGGGAGTGCCAGTTGGACATCTGGACTGCATTATTAAGTGTCAGGAGTAAGTGACTCATATCTCACCTTGATCAACCAATCAGGGCCGAGTAACCCACGTGGGACTCTGATGCCCATGGAACTTTCACCCAATCAATGAGCTGAAGTTCCTCCAGGTAAAAACAGGCAACACAGAGAGCCTGAGAGATTCAACAAGATTCAGATTCAGATTCAACAATTCTAAAGGGAATTCAAAGGAGAATCCCAAGGGCAGGACATTCTCGCAGCGCGCCTCCTGACCATCCTGAGACTCAGCCCGGACAACCACGGAACGGCCAGTGTGTCCGAGTGCCAGAACTTTCCTTTGTTCTAAGAGTCTAGAGTGGAGGTTGCCAGAGAGTAACCAGCAGCAGGCCTCGTGAACAGGTCGGAACTGTGGACAGCTGAATCACTATTCAGAACTAGCTCTTCATCAGGAACGAACCGGTCCTCTTCCTGACTTGCTGGGACCCACAGTCATCTTTTCTCCTGTGCACAAACTTTGCTAGTTAAAGCCAACAGTGAGCATCAGCAGCGCACCGTCGCAAGCCGCACAGCACAGCCTGGCACCGAGCCAGAGAGCGCGGATTGGACAGCAACAGCCTGCAACTGTTTCTTTGTGCCCGCAGGAGATCTGAATCCCCAGAGATTGGATGAGTATTCAACTTCAATGCATTACAGCTCGAGAATTCAATTGTTATCCAAACCAGTTGATATCAATTGAATTCCTAAGAGTTATGTACTTGTTTGAGTATTTAATGTAGAAGTTATAACCAAGTTCATTTACGAAACGGTCTTAATGAATGATATACTGAACGTATGTCCTCTTGATATGTCCAGAGTCACAGGAGCTGATAAGAAAAACAACCAAAGCATGTTCAGGAAAGATCACTAGAGGTAGGAACCATACAAACAGGAGCACAAGTAACATCTGTGAAACATCTGTGAAATTAATTGTCTCATCTAATTGTAAAAAACATTAAGATTTTAAAAAACATTAAGAATTTAATGTGAATAATAGGATTTTAAAGTTAATCTGCTACAGTATATTGCATCTTAGCTTATCAAGAGTGTCAGTGTTATTGCAGTCACTGTTACTGAAAAACCCAAACAGCATTATTATTTAACTTTATGTGAAATACGTCATATGAATAAATTATTTCAAAACCTTTCTAAAAGAAGCCCTTATCTAGGGCAGTGTTTCAGGTGTATGATAGTAGAGAGAAGGAGGATGACTGCAGTAACTAAACATGTGACTGTGACCTGTTGTCAATTACAGTAGATCAGATCTCAAGAGGCACAAACAAAGGAGTCACATTACTGTATTGTAGAGCATGATGACTGATGATTAGTTAAACACTCAGGACAGACACACTGTCAGGAGAGGATCAATAGGACAAACAGGTCATGTAGTGGCACCTGTAGAGCAAAGTGGAGGAGATCAGTCACTTAATGCATGGGCATTAAGTTACACAGACAGACCCACTCACACTGTTTTAATCTGATTGACTCCACAGTTCTCAATGTTCCTACTGCACTGTGAAAACATTTAAATCTCCCTGCCCCCTCCCCCCCCCCCCGTACTCACTGTACTGAACAATCCCCAGCATCTTCTCCCAGACTCTGTACTTCAGAGAGCCCAGGTGCTTGTCAACATTTATCAGTGCTCCTGAAACCCCCTCTGAATCCTGCAGTGTGCACTGGGCTCTGCAATAATAATCAGGAGTCAGTGCTGCTGGGAGTTTGGACTCCACAAAATAGAAAAGAGGAAGACAGATTGGAGTTCACATACTTTACCTTTGTGTCCTTGTAGTTCTGAAAAACAACAAAATGACCGATTAGTAATTTGTTTTCAAATAGAAACCCCCGAATACTTTGGTGACATTCTGATTAGTGACCATGACATAACAGATGATGACAGGAGCTGAAGATCAAACTGCACAGTTTTATGAAGCAAATTTAAAAACAGAAAAAGTAAGATTTTTACAGTATATAACATAGAATATTTAATTGGGCTTCATCATTTAAAACATACAAATAAAACATTAATTAATATATCAAAAGATTATTCAGAATAATATTCAACAGCATATAACATAATTTAAAAGGTTATCTTTTAAATGATTAAATTTAAAATGTATTCTTTAAAGGTTTCTTTAAAAAAAGAAGAAATAATCACAGAATAACTCCTTCTGTTCTAAAATTCTGTCTTATTATTTATTATAATATTATTTGAATTTGATCACTGTCAATGAAGAGCCAGGACCAGTATCAGACCACAGATGTCTAAATCCTGTCATAATGCTATGCATTTAATTCCCACCTAGAAGTTTAAACTTAAGAGCAGTAACCTGGAACAGAAAACTTTGAGGGTGTGGACACAGCCTGATGCAATCTTCTTGTAAGAAATGCATTGTACAAACTTGAATATCAGATATGGGTTGATATGCAATTGAATATTTTTTTTTAATAAAATGTCTGGTTGAACTGTGTTAAAAGTTGAACAATAATCAAGGAAACATATCCTAGCATATATTTTGCATGTTTTGAAACAAGATGAGTAAGGGTAACTAATGCATCTTCTGTGTTTCTCCCTTCTCTATAAACAAACTGATATAGATCAAGTTTACCATTTACTGGTAAACTTGGACTATATGGTTTACTGGGAAATATTATTGTATCTTCTAAGTTGTCACTAGTTCTAGCTAGGAGAAGATTTGTCATTCCAGAAGGCTCCAGATGAATCCCTAGTTGTCAGTATTTGACTTAGAGCAGAACAGATGTTCAGTGTTATAGCACACATGTGACCATTCATTACTGTCAGTCTGCATTCAGAGGACTGTTATCAGAGTCATCCCTACCAGCAGGAATGAAATGTCTTCAGCTCCCATCTTCTGTTCTATGGCTCTGATTGTGTCTGAAATGGATTAGATCTCTCTTGTAAGAATCTCCATCTTCTCCTTCATCATCTGGCTCTTCTACTCCTGTTCCTCTTTGAGTGCAGCTATCCTGGCTGCCTCTTCATCTCATAGAAACTGGTGAAGTTTCTCAAATTCCTTCTTTATCTGTTTTTCTGTTTCCTGAGCTTGTGCCTGTAAATTAATATGTTTGAAACAAAATAATAAAATTGTGTCATAATGTCATGATGCATGGGAACATTGGTTTTCGTCACACTTCAGAAACGCTGAGCTATTTTGTATTATTCATGTTTGTAGTCTTGACATTCAGCAATATAGCTGTCAATATTACCTTATGACATTAAAGATGTTGTAACAGAAAGAATAAGTTCTGGATCCCGAGATGAAGTTAAACAGATGAGTATTGTTCAAAGTGCCGGTACAAACATTCAGTTTATATAGGGTTTTCTGAGGTCGCTCCATACTATGGTAATGGAGAGAGGTCACGGTGTTTGGACAGTTTACAGCCTTTTGACCAAATGGTCAGGGCTTTGGTTACCCTCTGGGGTTTCCTGGCTGGCATCTGGAATCCTTATCAGTTTTCCCTTTTCTGCCATAAACTCCAGCCTGTGGCTTAGAAGTCTAATCTTCAGGCAGAAAGGACTTAAGTTAACCCCTTCTTCACATCTTGTATCTTTCTTCAAAGATGTATTGAAAAAAAGCAATGTAATTCTACTTAAATACCTCAAAGAACTCCTGGTGAATTAACTTTATTTTGAATATAAAACACATGCTAGAAATAATATTCATTTCATTACTATATCATACAATTTATTATGTGACAGATGGCTTCCTTCAAATAACTCATTGATAACATTTAGTCAGCAAGTTAACTTGTACTAGTAGAAATGTATTTTGAATATTTGTAATTTTAAAAATTAATCTTGTATTTCTAAAAAAATATAACATAAATAATACCTTAATGTGCTTTGCAGTTTAAACACACATCTGTTAAACTTCGGTAAAGAGCTTTAATGTCTTCTGCGGGGGCTCCAAAGCAGCCTGGAGCTCCTTCTGTAACAGAATGTTAGAGTTTATACTAAAACACAAGAACTACGGATTAAAGGCATCACTGCCAACACAAGTAATACTGTCTTTGTTCACTTATCAGGGATTAGATTTGTATTGATTTAAATCTATATTTTACAAATAACTATATAATATAATGCAAAATGATTCATTCTATTTAAGTCATATAAAGTAGATTTTTAGTATTAAATATTTTCTTCAAATAAGCAAAGGTATCATCTCTTTTATTCTTTCTGCCTCTTTATGAACTGTAGCCCCATGACCACACACAGGACCACCACACAAATACAGGACTGTAAATATGTTTAATTTCAATAATATATAACACGAAAAGCCCAGCAACATATTTTCTTTCATTTCAATTCACCTGAACCCTGTAATCTGAGCTCACTGGAGTTCAGCACAAACAGCTGCTTGTGTTCCTGTTCTTCATATAGTGTCTCCATGAACAGAGGATCTGACACATATTTAAACACCCTGAACATGACACTATAGCTATTTTTGTCCTCATGCCATCCAGCACTGGTTATTCAAACTGACCAGCCCCCATAAAAAGAACCAAAAAGACGATCAAGCTATTACAATTTTTGATATTGTGCAATATCTTTGTTACCTGGCCAGAAGATAATTCCAGGATGACAGGAAAAATATTACAAATGTATTATAAAACATATATATATAACCTATATATAACCTATTGAATATAAAAAAACATGTTTTTTATTTTGCCCCTTTGGTAAAAACTCTTACATGTTGAAATTAGAGACAAGACACCTACAGGTAAATGTGAAATCCAAAGTATATTGAATGCAGAGGCTTCACACAGGTGTGGTTCCTGAGTAAATTAAGCAATTGACTTAAGTATAAACGTGCTGGACAAGACCAATTGTCCATTATGTTGGCTGCCACGGCTAGAAGAAGAGATTTCAATGACTTTGAGAATGGGCTGATTGTAAGAGCATATTTGGCAGGAGGTTCAGTGATGAAGACTGCTTAGCTTGTTTATTTTTCATGAGAAACAGTTGCTAAGGTGATGTTGATATGGAAGTCTGAAGGAAGACATCATCAACAAGGGGCAACTGTGGCATAGTCTTCAACTGTGATGTCTGTGCATTTTTTTGAGGCAAAACAGATACAACAAGCAACTCTGAATCAATTGACAGCAAATGTCAATCTAAGGTGTGATTAAGCAGTTTCATAAAGTGCAGTCTACCAAGAACATCACAGAGATGGATAGTATTGTTGGGTTGCAGTCCATAAACCCCTTATTACACCTAAAATTCACTTTTGTGAAGTAAAGTGGTGCAAAGAACATAGACAATCTACTGAGCAGTGGAAAAAACTCATCCGGTCTGATGAGTCTTCCTTCACCCTGCTCTCAATTTGCAGACAAGTACATGTGTGGTTCACACTAAAAGAAGACTACAAGTTTGCGTACCCCACAGTGAAGGTTTGTAGTGGCTCTGTTATGGTGTTGGAGGTCCACTTTTTAGGTCCACTCAACCCCACAGAGGGCATGGTAAATGCCTATAAGAAAATTCTGGGTTATCATATTCATCCTATGGTGAAGCATAGGATATCCTGATAGGAGTGAAATCTTCCACGATCACATTGCTCCCATCCACAAGGCAGGGGTGGTTAATGAATAGTCTGATGTGCTTAAAACGAAAACATGTAAATCATGTGCTATGACCATCCCAGTCACCAGATCTCAACACAATTGAATATTTACAGGGGCTTCTGAAGCAGAACCTGAGAAAGTGTTTTCATCCACCACTAACACAACACCAAATAATGGATTTTTTTGTGGAATAATTGTGCGGAATCCCTCCAGCACAGTTCCAGACTTTAAAGCTGCTCTGGCACCTTGTGATAGCCCAATGCCCTATTAAGTTACTTTATGTTGGTGTTTTCTTTATTTTGGCAGTTACCAGTACATCTCAAATTACCTATTTGTTTCAGTGAAGAAGCAAAAAATACAATGTGCCATTTGTGTTGGCCCTACTAACGACCATTTCACAAGGAATAACAACACCCACAAATCAAGTGTACTGAAAGGTTTATGGGGTGTTTTAATTACAACAAATTTGGTTTAACATGTTTGGCTGAGGGATATCTTCCTAGCCATAGGAGTAGGAGTCTAGGAACCCCATGCACAGTGAGGTATGAGCAAGGGGCAGATGTAAAGGTGGAGATGTGGTGGAGGAGGATGCAAAAGACATGTGCGAGGGAGTGAAATGGAAATCTACGTACTTCTAAAAAGAAGAGAAAAAAAAAAGAATAGGTGGGTTAGAGTCCCAACTAAGCCTGGGTTAGAGTCCCGGCAGAAGAAACAATAAAAGACCTTACTAAGTGACCGACAAGATTTTCTGTGGCTCCTTTATTATAACTATAAAAGTTTCCACGACAGTCTTGGCGACGAGGTTGGGATCACAAACCTGAATGCGGACGGCCGCTGAGACTCCATTCGGGCCCGGACAATTTTCGTGAATTGGACGAACCTCAGGGGATAATCTGTTTATCCTTACAGAGATGCGTCTGGAGAATTGGCAGCTGTCTGACGTCAGTAAGCGATCCTTTTAACGAACCTTTTACAAGCCTTGAAAGTATTCTCTCTATAAGCCTGTGGCTTAAGCGACGGGTCTGGGAACCGGTGAGTCTGGGACTCGTATAGAGGAACTTATCTTAACACAGACATGTGGTTAGTGCCCTGTTGGGTAGTTAAAGTGGTAAGGTTCTAAAGTAAGCCACAGATCGGTAAAACGGGACCGAGCTGTCCAGCAAAGGTACATGTAAGACAAATTCAGAGAAGCAGGAATAGGTGGGTTAGAGTCCCACTAAGCTCCGGGTTAGAGTCCCGGTAAAGAACAATAAAAGATTATAGTTTTGGTTAGAGTCCCGGCAGAAGAAAAAATATTTTTATGTTCATGAACTGTGAAGCTAGGGTAATAGGTGTAAGGGAAAATATTTATCAACTGAAAGAGGCGCCAGGGATAACAATTGATTTTTGCATATGCAAAGTAGAACATAAGTGTAAGTATATAGAAAATAGAGAAGGAAACTCCAGAATTATTTTTTGATCCACATGTATTACTTATAAGGAACTTATTAACATTTGTGTAGGAGACATATGTATTTGGATCACTAAACCTCTGCTGTTTAAATAATATAGGAAGTTTCTTAGTAAATATGTGAAATAATCAGAGCTCTCAAAATGTGCCAATACCTCAAAAGGGTTTTATATATGATTTATATATGATAATTAGGGCCCCATAACTATGAAGGATCTTTGTAAGTGGTCAGAATGGACAGGGGAAAGTGGAATTAGGAAAAAGAAGTTTCCTGAAGATGGGACATATGACAGGGAGAATCATCTCTACCTCCATAAATGAAATGTCTACAGCTCCCAACTCCTGTTCTACGGCTCTTATTGTGCCCGAAAGGGATGATATCTCTCTATTGAGCCTGTTAATCTTTTTCATCATCTGATGCTTCTTCCTCCCTTAGTGCAGCTATCCTGACAGCCTCTTCATGTCATAGAAACTGTTGAAGTTTCTCAAACTCCTTCTTTACGTGCCTCTCAGTTAGCTGAGCTTGAATCTGGAATAGAAAGTATTGATTACTGGTTGAATTTTTTGCTCTGTGTATGATTTGCTTTTTTTCAGGGGGGTGGGGGGGTTGTCTCTCCTAGCACAAGTTTTCTGTTATCAATTTCAGCTGTTGGTAAATAACAAACATGATTAACAAGTTTTGTTATAAATTCTAATCTAGTAAATTTCCAATACATTTTATTGTCCTGTAAGGATAACATAGAACACATGTACCATTGTAATTGTTTTAAAATATCCTTTTTGGATGATTCAGAGCTTTTTTTCTTGTTACTTTGTTTTGTCTAGACCTCTTAATAAGTCAATAAAAAATACTAGTTTGTATTTCTGAAACTGCTTTTATAGTTTTAAAGCGATTTTCAAAGCAATGTTACCTTAATGTGCTCTGCAGTTTGATCACGTGTCTGTTAAACTTTACAAAAGGCTTCCAGCTTCATCTGTAGTGTAGCTTTAAGCTCCTCCTGGAATGAGATGATACTATACTTCAGAAACAGATTGAAAGCAGACATTACTGTCACCACAAAAGAGAAATGTCCTGTCAATGAAAGAGTCCACCACAAAGAGAGTTTCTGTAATACAGAGATTCTACAGGCCCTTCAATACACTCCTGAATTGCAATACAACCAGCACCCCAATTGTTGTATTACAGTAGTCCTGATAGTCAAAGTGCTAAGGGGCAGGCTGCATCAAAATGGATCATAGGACTCCAGTGTGAGAAGCATTGCTGTATTGTACAGTTCAATACTCAATTATGAAATTCCTGTTTCTCCTTTTTCGATGAGTTCGTCATTGTTTAATTTAAGTCTT